CACTAGTTTTGTTTTAATTTGATCACTGTATAGAGTTCAAGCGTGGTCAACGAAGTATTCCTGATTCGGATGAATGGCCTGAGGTGGTTACGGATGCTTTCTGGCAGGGCTGTGATGAAGACACACCGCAACCAGAAGTTTGTATATTGGACTTCTCCGTGTTTTTTAGCAGTACTGTACATAAACCTAGAAGATTCTGCGATATTGGCTGGGCTATATAGTGACCTGACGCATTTTTTGAGAAGTATCGCAGGTTATTTGATAAAAATTTCGTTCCAAAGAAGTAGACTCGAACGTAACCTTACATATATGCATTTTTTGTGCTGTTCGATTCCTCTGATGATTAAGGCAGCAGACCGTATCATAAGTGCTGGCTCGACGCGAATTAGGACTCAACCACGGTATCTGCGTATAGGTCTCATTGCTTCCTGAAAAAAAAAGATTGGCCTAATCGGTCAATAGGTCAGAAAAGTGCTTAGAGTTCGCCTATTAATCCTGAAAATACTGTACTTGTGTAAGTCATCTGTTCACTTGATTTACAGCACTGCTCCCTGGTCATTGAATTTTTGGACGCAATCGGAGATTTCAAACTAGAAGACATGGATCAGGACGTGGTGGATTTCATCATCAAAACGTGGCAAGCTGGAATGTAACAAGTACATGATGAAATCCGAATAGATATTGACACTACAGTACTGTACTGTATTACGAATTCTAATTCAATCTGAAGACGAACACAGCCGCCCATGGAAGATGCTGTTCTCCTCTTTGATATTACCTTAAGCTCTCTTTCTCAAAACCGTAGATGCCCGCGCGCTCTATCCGAACCCTCGGCATTTTCCTGCGTCGTCATCTAGCAGTTCTTGGAGTTGAATAAAGGCTGATACGTGAATACGACCTGTGTTAGGGTATGATTCCTTTTTATCCGAAAGATGCAATTGTTTCCATCGGCAGTAACATGACGTGCGTCGACTTAAGTATTGTTATTGTTCGTGATTGTATCGAATGAACCTTTGGTAGTTGGAAGTTTTTAATCGATGCAGGAGTGTCAATAAATTTGCCTTATTCGTAGAATATATGAAATGGGGCAATCGCCGGGATTCGAGGTGGTAATTCTTGCCGGAGGCAAAGGTTCTCGTCTTGGAGAGCTTGCCGTTGTGAAGGAAAAGCCCCTGCTACCGATAGCAAATCGGCCTATGATTTATTATCCTTTGAAGCTCGCGCAAGATGCTGGCTTTCCAAGTG